AAACGCGAGTCCTTGTTCAGGCGCCCAAAGACATCTTGGCGTTGAGCATTGCTCGGGTATGTGACAAGAGAATCGTAATTCGCCGCGCTGGTGGGCGTCGCGTGCGACGTCGCGCCCGCAAATGACGATGGTTCCAGGTAGTAGATGGCGACAACAGGCAATTCAGAACCGAAAATAGTCATGAATGTCTACGACGGGGTCTACATGAAGTCCGGTGCTCCAATCGACAGGTTAACACAAGTTGAGAAAACGCGCGCCCATCGCCGCGCGCGGCTGAGCGGCAAATTACGATTCTATTGCCCGTCTCTCGCATTGCTCAACGTAGGCTTGACCCTGCAGCTAGGGAAGCTTCTGCAGCGAGGGTGAGCTGTATCATGCTGTTTTTGTGGGAGGATGGAGGCGAACCAAGGCAGCCTCGCTGGTTAAGCCTCGCTGAAGAGTGATTCATGTTAGGGCAGTTGATGTCAGATTTTTTCAGTTTTTTTAAACGATGAATAATTTCAGCAGCGATGTTGGGATTATACTGTTCCCCGCAAGATAGCTGTCTTTCCGGAGCACAGGTCGATGGTATGACTGAACAGGAGCTGGAGCTGGTTATTAGGCAGGTGTCAGTGTTCTACCGAGCATCACCGAGGCATAAATTGAAAATTGTAAAGGTAATCAGGGATTTTGCCCGTGCAACGTGAAATATCATACGAAGTGATCCCTGCAGGCTCTGCAAGGAATAGGGGAAGTGGTGGCGATGACCGGTGACGGAGTCAACGATGCTGTCGCGTTGAAGAAGGCCGACATAGGAGTGGCAATGGGACTAGGAGGCACAGATGTTTGCAAAGGTTCGTGCTAGATTGAAGAAGTCTTTACCAGCTGTGTAAGCGCGTTCATAGTTTGCGATCCGATTGCGCAACACGACAGATGGCACTCCATCGCTAATCGGTGAATCGCCGCAACGGCAGAATTCAGTTAGGCCGCGTTCGTGCAGTGACCCAATTCTGCCGTCGCAGCTCCCACCGACTGGTGGTAGAGCGCCTCTGGTCGTGATCACGCGACTCACGCGAAGTATGAACGCGCTCTGACTGTAGCGAACACGTTGTTTTGCAGAAGCGGCTGATATGATTCTATGCGATGATGATTTCTCTACCATGACGGCAGCAATTGAGGAAGGCAAAGCCATCTACCATAACATCACCAATTTCGTCCGCTTTCAACTCAGCACGTGAGTTCTCGGTATATTTTGGAGCTCCATCTGGATGCTATTCTAATCACAGAGGTGCCAAAGTTCCATTAAAACAACTGTAGGGCCTGTAGAATGGAAAAGACGGACGAAATCGTCGCGCGCGACGCATCGCGCGGCCATGAGCGGTAAATTCTCTATGTGCGTCAGTTTGCCGACTGGAGCAGCGAAACTCATATGAAGTTGAGCGAGGGCAAGACTACACGATGGACAGTATCGGGTTTCCCGCTCATTCATGAACCATTCAAATTCGAACGGAAAAGTGGGGAAGAACTCGTCCGTTGGGCGCGGCGTCGCTCGCCTGTTAGATTGCCTTGTAGCACTCCCGCCTTGCTGAGATTTTTCCATTTCTCCACAGTTTGACACTGATGGGGAATGAAGTTAGTAGAACAGAAAATGTGGTAACCCCTACCTGGGTTACTGTGTCGAACGGGTAGAGAAAGGGAAAAACTTCATTAGGGCGGGGTATGTGACAAGGCAATCCTAATATGCGGCGCTGGTGGCGTCGGCTAGCGATCAACGCCGCGCCGTCGGACGAGTTGTTATCCCCTGCTTGATTGAATTTGAGTGTCGAAGGTACGGAAAAAAATTCGATATCGCCCTTTATGGAGTCTTCACTCTGATTGGATTTATAGAAGTTTTGCCGTTCGAATCGACTAACTGATGCGCAACAAGAATTCGTCGCGCATCACCGCACGATGTGCCGCGCACGACGCGGCAAACAACGAATTCTCTTGTCCGCCCTTCATCGCCCTGGCAATGGCACGGTTGACAAACAACGCGCCTATGTCTTCATCAACCGGATGTCATGGAACGTACATAAGTAGAAAAACCTTAATCGAATCTCAATGGCCTGATTTGAAATGTTTTTGATTTTTTTGAAGGCAGTGCGCCACGATGGTTCCTACTTATTAGCCTAAAATGCTAGTAGGCGCTGTATAGTGGCGTAAATGGCGAAAGAAACGTAGTGGGAAAATGGTCAAAGTCTGCGCACGAAAGAAAAAAAAAAAAAAAAAAAAAAAAAAAAAAAAAAAAAAAAAAAAAAAAAAAAAAAAAAAAAAAAAAAAAAAAAAAAAAAAAAAAAAAAAAAAAAAAAAAAAAAAATAAACAACAAAAAAAAAACGGGCCTCCGTTCTCAGTGACTTGTAAATCAATTTCGGACGAGTTTCCTGTAGTTTCCATCTTGCCAACCACCGCTTCATAATTTGCTTAGCAAATGAATCGATTAGAGCATCAGGAACGTTCGTCCATTTGTGGGCGGGCGGGCGTGACGGGCGTTTGGGACGTGAAGTGATGCTTTGATAAGGCCCTTATAAGGGCTCCCCTCGGGTGATTACCGCTATGGCCAGCGCGCCTGCCCAGCGGCTCGCGGAATTCTAATCTGCCAGGAGTATTAGATACTAGTCGTCCTGGGGATTTATCGTGCCCAACTGCCGAGAACGATGGACTCTTCGTAGTTGAAACGACTATTTTTCATAGAACGCTTTCATACCTTACTGCTATTTTTTGTTATTTTGGTATTGACTATTTCAGGAGCGTAGCCGCATTGTCCCTGATCGCTGCTTCGACCATGTTCCACTTCGAGAATCCGTTGAATGCGATGCAAATCCTCTGGATAAATATCATTATGGATGGGCCACCAGCGCAGAGCGTTTGTTGAACTTCTATGTAAGACATCGTTGTTATGCGATACGACAGCTCCATATACTCAAAGCAGGTTAACTTAATTTCCCAATCATGATTTCCTGGTTTAGTTTGGGTGTGGAGCCGGTAGATGATGACATAATTCGACAACCCCCTCGAAACGTTCGCCAACCGATGCTCAGCTTACGACTGATGATCGACATACTTTGTTCCGCAGGGATCATAGTGCTGGGACACTTTCATCTTCTACAGAGAGGCTAGAAGCACTTTGTCTCATGTATCATCCGTAGTGCATAACGGAGCGTCAGATGGAGGCGTTCCTGCATAGCTAGCTGGCGCGGCGCCAGCTCGTTTCCTGCAGCGTTACCACTACGGACTGGCAGCGATTGGTATGGAAATAGACTGTGGGCGGCGCCCCAAGAACGGATCAGTGATGGTGACGGCCCTCTATCTACCTCTGCTTGGAAGCTGCAAGTCGAAAAAGCTCTTCAGATGTCTGCCGATAACAAAATTACGCCACGAGACACCACAATGACATTCACTTGCTTTGTTTTATTCGATATGTGGAATGCGTTGAGTTGTCGAAGTTCAAGAAAGATGATCTTGGCAGATCGGATTGACGAGGTAAAATTCCGTTTTTCCTTCCATTACATGTGAAGTAGTATTTCCAAGAAATATTGCCTTTATTGCCTTGACTGTGGGTGCTGCAAAGAGTATGTCACGGCGATGTTTTCACTGAAAAGAACTCAGTTATGGCTCCATTGTGCTGAAAGCTGCAAAACTATAAGAGAAAACATGAAGAAAAATAAGAAATCAAACCAAAACGTCGCTCAGGAAGTATCTTTTGAAATTTGGCGCCATCTTATTCTTTACTGCCTCACTCATAGAAATTCCATGCTCCAGATTTTTACTGACTTCTTTATTTAAGGTCTGGTCTGAAAGTCCAAGCAAAGCCCGCGACCACCCATTGTGGGTAACGGCGCTCACATAGGAACGAAAAAAGCCAAGTAACTGATTAGCGGAGAAAAGCAGCAGAAAAAACAACCCGAAATCCCTAATTATAGGACCTCATATCGACCCCAACTTGCTCACGCTGCCATGCAATGAGAAACGCATGTTTGTAACGAATTTCCACTCGTCTTATCATTAACGATATCGCGTCTTTTACCTTATCACCACCTCATTCTCATCATTCGGAATGGAGAGAGATATTATGTTGGACGAAAGTCCTGCGACACTTTGACCAAAGATTCATTTATTTAAAGACACATGGTACGCTCAAACACACTAAGGGTGTATGAGACTATCAGCCCCAGCTGTCGGTGTGTCGCGTGGTCCCCCGCCCAAACTGCACGCCGGCGGTCAGAGCTACGGGGCCGTGCGCAGAAAGTCCGTTAATTCAGCTGGGGGTCGATAGTCTCATTACAACCTCAATGTGTTTCAGCCTACCATGTGTCTTTAAGGCAAGGGGAAAATAGTAAGCCATGTCGCGTATCAAACCTTCGGTATAAACCTAAGATACTTCTTCGAGAACCCACTACTACTTACTAATGCTGTTTTCTCTTCAGTATTCCCCTAAACTACAGCTCGTTCCAGGAATCGGATGTTTTGCATCGCAGTCAGTGCCTCACTTGTTTGTCAATTGCTCGTTATCTTCTGGTCTCCACTACAACATGTTTTCCAAACCGAAGCACTTTCCTTAGCTGGTAAGGCTCATTTGTCGTTGTTTTGATGTGGCCTCCTAGAGGAAATAAATTTCTTTGGGCGTAGCTATGAGTGTATGTCACGGCGATGTCATCTCAATGTTTTCAGATCTGCTGTTGCTCTCAACGATGACGTCATCAGTATTCATATTCAATGAAACGAAAAAATACTTTGATCTTCGGCGGACAAAAATGCCTTCGATATCCAAGACCGATAATGTTTTGTGATGTCTTTTATTTATTGTAATATGTATTTATTACTGAAATTCCCGATGCCAAATGCGAGTGTTTGCTTTCGACATTTCATTTCCTTGCGTTTAATTTCTCCTGATATTTTACCTTTTGTTTTTTTTTTCAAAATTTCTCAATTTTTATCCATGTCCCTCCCTGCTCTTTCTCTCCGTGCAAGCTTCAAGATTTTTATTTATTATAGTGTTGTCGTTGCGAGTTCCTCAAGTTCCTTCGAGTAAGGGCTTTATTGCAGCCCGAGAAGTCGAAGTTACCTTTCAGTCAAGCCTCAGAGCTCCCATATCATCATCTCTCGCCTAGATTCTACTAGATCATTTATTATTTATCCTTTATTATTTATGATCATTAATTTATTGACATTCGTTTCTCGCTCATCTCAGAGACAACTTTAACCCTTTGAACATAGGCGTTGATAAATCGCCAAATTTCCTAGCATTAAACTTTAAGTGGAATGCATTGATAATTTTGTTAGCTCCTCAGCGACGATTAGGTACAGTGGACCGTTTTGGGTATAAGTTTTTCGTGTTGCAGTTGGTGTCCATAAGTAATTAAAGTTTTCTTCGTAATTATCGATTGTTTTGTTTGTGTTGATGGGCCAGGATATCGACTTCAACAGGTTTTTTTGGTTTACTTCGCAGCTCTGCAAAACAAATTTTCGGCGCTGTTCGGCTTGGGAGGGGCATTTAGCACTTTCACTAGTTCGTATCACTAGTTCCTGGTAAATTACACGTGACATCTTGTTGAGACTTGCAGACTTTTGCCAAATGTAAACGAAGCTCCTGCTACTGCATAGCTTTACCGGAATTTACAGGTCTAAACAATAGGCATTGATCAGTGATTGATGGGAACCAGCAGGATGCCCCCGCCAAGCCGCGAAGCTCAAAATATTTTTTTTGAATTGCGTGTTGAGTGAATACGGTTCAGTGGCTGATGGCGCTGTTTTCCAATAGAACGGCGGGGGAGATCGACTCTTTCCTGGACCACTTGAAATCGGACGCCATTGAATCTTATTATGAAAAAATTTGTTCTCGAAGGAAACAACTTTGTTGGATTACCGGCTGCTCCACGCAGGTAATTGTTAATAGAGCCTTGAACCTTGCTAAAATGATGCTAAAATTCCGGTACTGCAACGCCACTTGCAATGCCACGTAGCCGTCACTCAGATTTCCTGACCCAGTGGCTCATTGGCTAGCAGGGGTATGTGACAAGGCAATAGTCATATGCTGGTCCGCTGGTGGCGTGATCAAGCGGCTCCGCCCTCCTGCGGAACGCAGAGTTTCCCCTCGTCGTCTCGCCGAGGTAGTCCCGGTCTCCCTGAATTTCTGGACGAAGTTTACTGGTCCACGTTGCCACCAGAATGACATCGAGATAGGGCGCCGCGAATCGCCGTAAGAAAGCTGCGACGCGGGTGCGGCGCAATGAAATTAAGATTGTATTTTTCTGTCTCTAGGGTTCCTGCATCGAACATAAACATCATGCGCAAACCAACATCTTTGGCTCAACACATATTGATTAATGGCAGTTGGCATGATGGTTTCCCTACCTAGCCAAAAATGGTAAGTAGCCGCGCTCTGTAGTGGGGATAGCGAAGAGTAACGGAATGAAACGCAAAATCCTTGCGAACGGAGACTCCGTTCTCAGTGCTTGTCATAAATAATTTGGACTGATTTTCGTCCCGTAGGGCATCTTGCCAAATAAAACCCGCTAACCGATATGGCCTGCACTATTCGACCCATGTATGCATGGCAGCATTCAACGGCTCGCTTTCATACCAATCCCTTTTGCTTTCATAATTTGCTTAGCAAATGAATGAATACGAGCGTCAGGAACGGTCGTCCATTTGTGGGCGGGCGGGTGGCGGGCGTTTGGGACGTAAAGTTGTGGCTTGATAGGGCCCTTATAAGGGCACCTTCCTCGGGAAACCGCTATGCAGCGCCTGCCCAGGGTCGCGGAATTCTATCCTGCCAGGAGTATTGATCCTAGTCGTCTTGGGGATTTATCGTGCCAACTGCCTTTAAATATCAATCACGATCAACGTCTTCTTACTGTAACTATTGATTGAGGTTCACCTTTGATCTGAATTGACTTTTTGTCAGCGATGGACTTTGTTGGTGTATGTTTATTTTTGTCTTTTGTCTTTTTCTTATTTTTTGCTCGGATTCCAGAGAAGCGATTCTCACCAGTTGACAACCCAGGAGCTTTCTGAGCACTGCTTGGCTTGGAAGAGGGAGGGGGGGGGGGGGGGGGGGTGACCGCGTGGAAATCCTTCTAGTTCTCACCGACATGGAAACCTGTAAACTCATGTAAATTAACAAAAACCTCTCACTGAAGCTTGTAGGGGCCTTCTTGTGAAGACCTGCAAACCCATCCAAAGCTAATACAGCCATACACAGTGGATCGTAACATTTCGAAAGTTTACAGGGGTTTACAGGTTCGATTTCGCAGCTTTACGAGAGCTTACATGTCTCACCATGGTGGGACTGAAGAAACTAGTAAACTTAAAAAGCGCGACCTCCTCCACTCCTGAGCATAACAGCGCCGTTTCCTGTAATTCGTTGGGACGACGGCGATTTGACCGTCAAGCAGCTGCTCAAAAACACCCCCGCTCATAGGACTAATGTCTACTGCGCCTCTAATGTGCCCCGCAATGGAAATGGAAAGCAAAGAAAGTTTAAGATCATTTGCTGCTTTGTTTTCTGACCCATGATGCTCAGGGGATCCGGAAATGGCTGTTTGTTGTTTTGCCTTGTGATGTGTGTGTGACAAACAACCCTGGGGAGGTTTGCATGCCTTCTAATCATATAAAAAGGAATTATTGGTCATTTTGCATTCTGGAGTAATAAACTGGACCCTCCTGGGATCATACGAACGCCAGCGAAGCTTGAAATAAAATAGCCCTCTTCGCGGTCCTTTGATGGTCCGATCCTTTGGTTGAACATCCTACGAGATATTTGTTCAGCATTATTCCATTGATTTCAAGGCGAAAAGAATATTATTGTCAATGCATCCTCAATGTTTGAAGAGCGAAAGTAGGCGCTTGCAACGATGTCCTGAATCCGACCTCGGGCCCCTGCTCATAAGCCGTGGCTCTCTGGACTTCGCCCCGAAACGCATTGGACACCAATCTCTTCAAATCTATTGCGCTTGTAAGCCATTTGCAGTCATAGTGATGATTTTGTCGATCAGAGCTATTGTGATTTATGTGAGGCTCGATCTTCCGCCGCTGTTTGTGAACGAACGAACACGCGCGTTTACAGTGGCTTGAAGAGACTCAACGATCTCAGATTTTCCTTTGTGCTACCCTAATCATAGAGAATATACATCGGCACGTCTGTGCGATGACGGAAGCCGAGCTTCAGGTAGTTTGTTATGAGCCCATCTCTTTTCTAGCCAATTGGATAAAGAAGTTACCCCAGGGTAGACCCGAGGTCGTATTTTAGCTGGAATTAGGAGGAAGGTCGCATTTTGCAGAAAATGATGCACAACGGATTGGCCGTGGCCTGCCTGCAGGTCGACGGCGATTTGACTTTGAAAACAACCCTCGTCCCAACAAA